CCATCTTGAAACTGAAATCTGGGAACATGATGGAACCAACCAGGTGGAATCAGAGGGGCGAGTGTTTCCAGCAGAAGGAGTTACTGTGCAAAGGCCCAAAGATGGAGGGAGCCTGGCAGTCAGAGGGTGGTCTACATGGGAACCTAGTGAGTGACAAGGAGGAAGAGCTGGCACAGACCACCAGGCTGGTAGACCAGATGAGGCTCCTCTGCAGTGTACGTTAGAGATTCTTGTTAAAAGAAATAACCTTCTCCATGGTGTTGCAAATGGCATTATTTTAATTACTTTATGGCTGAAAAGTAAATTTAAATTACCTTATAGATTTTTTCATGTAAAGGAAAAAAGAAAAGAAATAACCTCTTTCACAAAGACTATATCCTTGAATGATGATGTCACCCATGATACAGGCAACACCCATTTCACAGCTAAGGACTCTGGGAAACCAGACAGCGCTCTTACGTCTGACTCCTACTTAAACACAGCACTGAATGCAAACCACCTTCCAAATATTGTGCTCACCAGGATTGTTCTAAATACGACACATAACTACTGAAATTTACATGAAAAAGAGCACCAGAAACACGATACCCAACAGCCCCACACCGCAGACCGCAGTATGTGTCCTCGTTTTGGTTTTCATCTGTTTGTAAGCCTGATAAGACTGTATAAATTGTGAACCAATTTTCACTACATAAAAGGATCATAAATCCACTTCCATTTAACAGGTAAGGATGAACAGCCTAAAAACTCAGACTGTTGTAGAAAGTAAAGATATGGTCATCTGGTAGGTCGAAAGAGGCACCTTCTTCACATCTGAGTCAGTGAGCTTACATGTGCCTCTCAATGTAATTCCATTTGGGCATTATTTTACCTACTTAATACTCAAGGACACCAAGGCTCCAAGCAGCAGAGCCCATTTTAAATCATTAGAAATGTTTCTCTTAGCTCTTAAAAACAGCATTAACAGTTCAGGAGAAAATAAAAATAGAAGAAAAGAGGATGAAAAAGATGACTCCACAGATAACTTAGCATCATTTATTTCCTTTGGGGCTCAGGAATAGGGCAGTTTTTGAAAGCAACAAATCAGACAAAGATGAAATTGTCTTTAAAAAATTTCCCTGGAACCATAAGCCTTTAATGTGCATTCATGTTTTATGGTACTTTAAAAATTACTAACCATACATTGCTGAGACATAGTTTTTTTTCAAAGAAATCATACAAAGTATAAAGTATGTGCCCCTTGCCAAAGGTACTAATGAATACTTTGATTTGATAGCAATACTCCTTAAGCTATTTTATTGATGCAAATTCTTATTACTCCTTCAAACTTCAAGAAACTCACTATACCCGGCTTCTTAATTTAAAGGTCCTAAAAAGTGTATGCAAAATTTTGTGTGAGCTGGCATATACCTTCTGAGGAGAGGCGCTTAGAAGGCATTCATTAATTCTTACCTTAAAGAACCACAATCCTAAACTAAGAATTTAACACTACTTTATGACAATGAAGGTAGTTTTAAGCTGACGTTTATAGACCAGTTAAAATTCAGCATAACTCATACATAACCCATTTGGATTACTCAGAAGGCAATATATTTACTAATATACCAACATATATTTATTTGTTTTGACCCTGTTCATATAGAAGAATCTCTGGTTCTCTTCAAGTCAGTAATCCAAACATCAGGTTTAAAAATAATTGTTGCTTAATTCAGAGTTGTTATAGGACACCCTAAATCAATGCAGAAAATTTCCATGTAACATCTATGTTTGCCAAAACTAAATAAAGTTTAAACTGCCCTAGGATTTTTGGATAGTTTATTAAAGACCAATCATAAGAGCGGTACCACACACACAATTGTGAAGTCTGTTGTTTCTTTCATGTCACAGTAACATAAAATTGTGGCACATTGAGTAATATCCATGCATTGGTGTAAATTACCATTGTATCCATCTTGGTTCAGGTCTCCTAAGTGTGCCACAGCACTACCAAATCTCCCGAAAATCTCAGTGCCTGTGAGGACCTGTGGGTCCCTGAAGACAAGCTCGCTCTCTTGCAAATACAGGTAAACTTGCCCTACTTCTCTAGGGTTGCTCTCAAATTCTCGTTCCATAAAGAGAGGTGCCCCAATCAATATGTCATCCAACCTGCAGGGAACAAAGAGAGAAGTCAGCATGCTGGCAGACATGAGATCATTTTCAGTAGATTTCTAATCAATTAGATTAGTGCGTTTCCATTGGCATTTTTCCTTTTCCAAGGGACATTTTACAATCGTCATTATTTCTTTCACTGCTTTGTTATGTGTAAGGAATAGAATGCCGTAACAAAATAAGAGTTGTTAAACCGTCACATTGAATTTTTTAGCTATGTTAAAAAATAGTTTAAGAAAACCACAGATACTGCATCCTTTTTGGCTTTTTAATGATTTTCCACAAAACGTAGTCATACAAGTAAAACATATCAAAAAGACCTAAATACGCTTTTCTAAATGTAGATGAGAGTTTGTCTACAATTTATACAACTGTGCATTTATATTATGAAGTTTTCTTGCAGTAATAAGGTTTAACATAAATTTTGTCTTCCTCTTGTTACCTCCGTTTAAATAAAACAGAGGCCAGAGAAGGTTACTGTACCGACTAGAAAGATAGAAAACAACATTTTCCTCCCAAATGCAGATTTATAGTTTTTCTTTGTAAATATAGATAGATATTATAGCAGGAAACTGGTAGATAATTTTTCAGGTTGAAAAAAATTCAAGAAAGAGATAGCAAGTGGATTGCTACATTTAGGTAAAACATTCCCTTAAAAATGTTCCAAATGCATTTACTTGCCATGCTTCTGTGCTCTAGGCCAAAAGGAGAGCAGAGATTGGGGCTGTTCCAAGTCTCTGGCTTTCCCTGGGAGGAATCGCATTGCCTCTCTTTCTTTTATTATTATTGTCAGTATGAAGAGGCATTTGTTAAATACCTAATTGTGTGTGCTGCTGCCTTGTAGTTCAAAGGCGTCTAAAACCACTGGTTCTTTAGTGCAGAGATTGAGCTGGGCCATTTGCTCATTCTCTAAAGAAAGAACAAAGCCATATAATTGGTCCCTGAGGGTATGAACAGGACATGGGACTGACATATTGACTCACTCCATTTCTCACTGCCAACACTGCAGAGCTCTAGAAATGCGAAAATATTTGACCTATCGTTGTAAAAGATTAGCACATCCATGGAATCTTTGGATTCTTGGAGAATTATGACAGCACTGATTTATCTTCTTAGAAATGTATTTCCCTAGATATTTAAGTGTAAGTCTTCTAAAATGTTCTAAATGCCAAAAAAGGAGACAGACATTTGTTCTTAATTAATAATTGTGTTCTCATGAAGTTGAGAGACAGTGATCTTGGATTCATTTGGTTCAATGTGCCTTGTAGAATATTTTGCATTTAGTGTCAATATTTTATATTAGCAACACCACTTAAGAGACACAGTATATATTGTTGTTTAGGCTGGTGTTTTTACATCTTCATTTGCAACTCATTAGTGGATTGTGAAATCAGTGTAATGGATCTTGATGAGCAATTTTAAAACACAAAATAGAATACAATAGAAAATATCACAGTGAATGTGTTACACATAATAAGGGTAAATATTACTTCCACGAACTGTTTGTTGTGTGTAGTGGGTTGCAATATCAAACCTATTTCTGATTATGAACCCACAAGGCCAAAAAATCAGCAGAAAGCCACTGCAGTAGGCTATGTGTGCTATTACACTATTTCAAAGTATATTTATCACAACCTTTTTTTGAATATACCCAATTCAAATTTAAAGTTTAACAATATTGGTAAAGACGTTTAACACTGACATCCTGAAAAAGTAGTTGTGTTAGCAGGCTGGATGCCATTCTAAGAATATGTAACATATATAAAATATATAATATTATATACATTTAATCTCAAAAAAGAACAATGATGAATAAGTAATATTAATGAGGTTGTCACTAAAAACCATCTTCTCTGGGTCATGTTGGTGGTTTGGATGAGATCTAAGTGATTATGTAAAAGCATTTTATAAAAGTAGAATATATATACACTAAATTTCATCATATCTGAAATGTCTAATGTTTAAGCAGTTTTCTTTAAATTTCTGTGTAGCATTCACACAGGTTTTATTTGTATTTCTTTTTTATGCCTAAATCCACTCTAATAATATAATACAATGCAAAGTGCAACTTCTCATCCTTCATGTGCTCTTTGAGATAAAACATTAGCATAAATATAGGGATAGAAAGAGAGGGAGGATAAGGGAACCCATCTATGAGAATTCATTATGAAGAATCTGAATTCAAGTTTTCTGCAGCCAAACGGTGTTTCATATGTTATATGTAATAATTGTTATATGTAATAATTAACACATAAATTTCATGTTTCTTTTTTCCCAGTAGTCCATTCTGCATGTTAATGCCTTGAACTGATTTTCAGAATGTAGTTATTTATTAAGAGAATACAGGTTAGAAAACTGTATAGTAGAATTGATATCTCATCAATTTAATTGTTTTTATGATAGGCGAGAACTAACATAGCTTGTCATTTATGTTACTAAAATCAACTTAATTTGCAACTTATGTTTTAGTTTTCTAGATTTTCTACTTAACTGAATCATTAACGATCTCTCCTCTATGAGCAAACACACTTGGATTAAATCTAGCACCAAAACTTAGTTACCCAAAGCTGCTTCTTTTCAAGTAAATTTTCTCTGAAATGCTCTCAAGTTAACTAACTGCTAAGAATCTCTTTAAATTTAGTTCCTTTTGGCCCTGCAGTGGCTAGAAACAATCCAGTGAATTAAACTGTAATTCTGTAAATTTGTGAAGTAGTATTAATACTATAAAGTTCAAAAAGCTGTAAGAAAATAAAAAACAGATTTGCTTGCTTAGGTCCAAGAGGAAAATACTACTCCCTTTGTTGTTAATTTTGTCCAGAAATTCGTAACAGAGTTTATATTGAAAGACTCTGTAGCTCTGGCTATTTTAAGATTAACTGGTGAAGTTAATTTCACCAGCTTGTTTATAGTTTCAAAACAGGCACAGGCTTGACAATATCATCCGCAACCAGCGTTCTCGCAACTGTTTGTTCTAAATTTTGGCGCCCACTCCTAACACCTGGACATTTTTTCTGATTATAAAAAAAAAAACCACTGGGGACACTCCCACCAGTTTATTTATTTTGTTGCAATACTTAATGACATTGTCTTTTTTTTCCCCCTGATGTTGAGTTTTGGAGCATCTGTAGGGATTTTGCTTTTGTTGCATGGCGGATGCAGAGGATGACATACCCTGTCGAAGGATGTTCACTAGGTAGCCTCGTGCACAACATTACTTAATTATCTCTCTGATGGAGAAAGAAAAGTCTGGTTCAATCCCACAGAACTTGGGAGTCTTAACTTCTGAACCACGAACTAGCTGAGTGATGCTCTTCATCCTATTCTGAGTAACTGCACAACATCCACTTAGGGCCAGAGCTTAAAAGGAAACAGGCTATTTTTTTTTAAAGGATATTGAGAAATGAGAAATTGGGTAAACAATGGGAATTAAATCTCAATTCTAGGATGGAACTCTGCTGGGTGATTAATGCTCATGTATAATTCCTCCATCACTGATAAATGCTGGAAAAGCTAGAAAGGGCTTTGTGAATTAAAAAAATCGTAGGAGTTACAGACTCTGTAAAATTATTTATGAGTTAAACTAATGACTAGGTAAAATGCAGAAGACTAGTATGGCTATTTTTAATATAATCAAACAAACTGATTTTTCTTATATGCCATGCTGCTAAAAACCATTCATAATGGAATTTTTTAATCAGTCAAGTTGTTTTTAGCAACACTAAAGACAATCTTAAAGTTCTTTGGGTGAAAATAACTGAAATTATGCTCTTATATTTGTATAAAATGAAAGTCTGACCTCGTTTATAAAAATAATGAAAACTAATAAAATGCACATTTAATAAACAGATTCTCATCAACAGCTAAAACAGCAAAAACTTAAACACACGTTACTCTTCTATCACAACCCTTATTGAAAGTCATTGAAATCTATATGTATTCTGTACGTATGTGTATATGTATACCTATATACACATGTATATATACAGATAATATCTATGTTTTTATGTATATGTAGTCAGATATAGATAGATCTACATGTGTATATATATGTGGAATCTAAAATGAAAATTCAGAGAAGCAGAGAGTGGTGCTTACCAGGAGTGGAGATGTCAGGGAAATAGGGAGATATTGGTCAAAGGGTACAAAGTTGCAGCTAGGCAGGATGCATACATTCTAGGGATGCAGCATACAGCACAGTGGCTACAGTTAATAATACTGTATTACATACTGGAAATTTGCTAAAAGAATAGATTTTGGGCGCTCTTACTGTGCACGTACACATACACATATATGCACACAAAAGGTAACTATGAGACAGATGGACCACATGGTTGGATGGTTGGTTGGATATAAACCAATCACACAGATGAATATGTTCATGTGATTGAATGTAGTGATCATTTCACTATATATATGTACACCAAAACATACTTTAAGCTTTAAATATATACAATTTTTATGTTAAAATATTTAAAAGGTTACTGAATTTCTTCAGTGACAAGTATACTAATCTATCCTGGTTTCCCAATTTTTAAAAGTAAGTATAAAAACAGACAAAAAAAGTAAGTGAGAGGCACATTAGTCATTTTACTCACTAGGTTGAAAATTCTTAATCCTTACAGATTATAGACCCTTGAAGACTGAGATTATATATATATATATTATATATATATATATATATATATATATAATATATTATATATATATATATTTCCTACTAGGTGTTTTTTAGAGCTTTGTAAAGAGCTCTCTGTATACAGAGAATACAGAAAAAATTTCTGTAGAGCAAGTCAGCAGAAGTTCTGTAAACTAATTAAGGTCTTCCCCTACTTAATGTGTGCTCTTGAGCAATTCACTTAACTTCTGTCTCATTTTCCTCACTGGTGAATTTTAGATAGTTTCACTGGATTGTAGTATGGATAGTCCCATGTTATTATACATATTACACACAAAGGCATTTTGAGAGAAAAAAAAAGCATGGTCTGCTAATAATTAATGATCAAATTTTGCTGTTTAATGGCATATTAGGTTCTACCATTGTTTCAGTGGAGAAGGGACATTTCTGCCTTGGAAACTGCTAACCAACTGGGGAGACCCAATATGTCACACCCAGGAAAACTATATGAGATAGCGATTTATGTTTGCTGCAAATCTTATACATCCTGAGGGTCCCTGCTAGAAATCTGGTCTGGAATTGAGAATGACAGAAGTGTTATCTCAAAATGAGGCCACGTGCACCCTGACATGGAACCATCACAGCAGCTTAGGAAGAATCACTGACACGTGCATGATGTGCTGCCTTCCTTTTCTCGTTCTGCTAAGATTTCTGGGATTACAGGTTTATGTCTCTGTCCTGATGGGTTGCTTTGTACCTTCCCTGGGGATGAATATCCTGCCATGGAGGTGAGGATACTGGCTGTCACTATAATTAGTGGTTTTCGGGCCCCGTCCTGGGATCAAGTATAAACCTAGAAACCCAAGATGCCTTGTTTTCCCTATTTGTGTCTTACTTGAAAGCTAACAATATCAAATTATTGTTCTAGAAACACAAGTGTGCAAAGATGATGACAAATTATATCTGCATTATTGTAATCTCAGACTTCATGTGAGCTATCTTTACGTGGGATAAAATACAGATTCCAGAGTATACACATTTATTATAGGACCTTGAATGTACATAGCATCTAATTAATTAAATTAGCAATTTAATTAGCATCTAATTAAATTAGCAATTACAATTGGTAATTGAGCAGCAAATAATATACAGACTGAGAATCCATATGTATTTTTTCTTTAAGAATGTCAATATTAAGATAATAGATGCATTTGATTCAAAGCATTCTACAGAATTCAGAATATATTGCCTAAGAAGAAGAAATAATGTGCACAGCAATTTTTTGAGAACGTCAAGAAAAACAAATTATCACTGGAAAATTCCTGTGTTTGTTACTACCATGCTGTTTTGATCACAAGAAACCAATGAGGTCCTTTATTCACAAGGTTTCTTTTGTGACACTGGGGGAAAGTTGAAAGGATTCAAAAGGGAGTGAACTATGGAAGGAAACACACTGGGTGATTTGTGCCCTATAAAATACTGCCTGGCTCCCAGGAGAGAAGCCTGGTGGGTGATGTGTTACTATCTATTGGGAGAAATGTGTCTATACTTATTCTGAGGGCCACTGTCAGAATTTTTGTTTTCGCTAAAGAATGGGCTTCCTAAATCTGGACAGTATGCCATGTTTTGGACTCAAGTTCATCCTCTGCCATTTTCTCTCCAAATGGCTAAAAGGCTTTGATGATAAATACAGCCCACACGGGTTACACATTTTCAAGATGATTCTATTTGTTACTTTCTTTTCACAACTCAGAGAGCTGAAGATGAAAGCAACTTCATTATACATTATCTGCATCCAGAATAAGATTACATTCACATATACCTTCAAAATAAACCCAGAAACAGACTCATATAGAAAACAAACATGGTTACTGGGGTAAAAGGGGATGGGAAGGGATAAATTAAGAGTTCAAGATTTGCAGATACTAATTACTGTATATAAAATAGAGAAACAGTAAGTTTCTTCTGTATAGCACAGAGAACTGTATTCAATATTCAACTGTATTCAATAGTAAGCTATAATGAAAATGAATATGAAAACAAATATATGTATGTATATGTATTACTGAAACATTATGCTGTACACCAAAAATCGACATAATATTGTAAACTGACTATACTTCAATAAATAAATATTTTTTTTTCCAGCTACTGCTCTGGTCCAAGCCACTGTCATACCTCACCTGGCTTATCTCAGTGGGCTCCCGGAAGGCCTCGTGGCCATCAAGACTCAATAAACAGAGCCTGCCCACTAAAAGTGAAGTGGGAGCAGGCCACTGCCTTGCTTAGAAGCCTCCAATGGCTCTCAAGATCATGTGTCTTTCTTGGAAACAGACTCATTCTATCTGTGGCAGAGGCTGCATGGCACCATGTAAAGCAGTTTGGAGTAAATGCAGTGGCTCACAAAACTTCATAATCCCACTCCCCACTGTCATCTCTCCAAGCCTCTTTGATATTCCTTGAACTTGCCAGCAGCTGTCACCTCCTCTGGGAATCTGAACACCCTTCCCTGGATATTATCATGTTTTGCTCCCTCACCTAACCTAACACCAAGGCCTTCCCTATTTACCTGATTAAAAATTGCATCCCTCCCAATTTTTCCTATCCCCTTTTGTTTTTGTATATATTTTTTTAAGTTTCATTAATAGACTTCATTTTTCAGAGCAGTTTTAGGTTCAAAGCCAAAATGAGCAGAAAGTACAGACACTTCCCATACATCTCTGGCCACAAGCACAGCCTCCCACACGGTGAACATCCCACACCAGATGGTACATTTGTTACAACTGATAAACCTGCACTGACACCTCATAATCATAAAGTCTGCAGATTACACTTGGGTTCACTCTTGCTGGTGCACATTCTATAGGTTTGGAAAAATGTATAATGCCACAAATCCACCATTGCAGTACCATACAGAGTAGTTTCACGTCCCTAAAAACCCTCTGTGTTCCACTCAACTCATCCCTCTTTTCACCACTAACAGCTGGTAACCACTGGTCTTTTAACTGTCTCCATGGTTTTGCCTTTTCTCTCCAAAGTGGAATCATAAACTATGAAACTTCTTCATACTAGCTTCTTTCACTTAACAATATGCATTTAAGGTTCTTCCATGTCTTTTTATAGCTTGATAGCTCATTTCTTTCTGGCGCTGAGTGATATTCCATTGTCTGGATGTCCCACAGAATACTCATACATTTACCTGGTAAAAGACATCTTGATTGCCTTCAGCCCTTCTGTTTTCATTTTTTCCCTCCATAGTGCTCATCACCATCTAACATATTCTTGGCTTGACTCGTTTATTTTTGGTATGTAGCTCCTACCTCAACTACAGTATAACCTTCGTGAGGGTGGAGGTTTCCGTACTATACAGAGGTCACAGCTAACGCCTATTATGATGTATCTAGAGTGCTTAGCCTGTATCTTGGAACATAGTTAAGATTCTTCAGCTATGTGCTTCTTACAAAAACGTGAGGTCCATGAAAGCAGAGACCTATTCTGCCTTATTCACTGCGATATTCTGGGCACCCAAAAAAGTGCTGGCACACTGTAGGGGCTCCAGCAATTTATTGCATGGTTATCAGTTCAACTTAATTCACTGGCTTTTTCTTATTTAATCTTGTGTTTTATCTGACAGGTGCTTTTAGTGGGTCAAAGAGATGCTTAATAATAATTTTCTTTGAAGTAACGGCTTAAACATGACCATAATTTATCATGCTGTTTGGTCCAAGCGCAACTGTAATTTACTGCCATGATCTAAAAAATATATTATTTCATCTTCTGCATGGGTGTCACTAGAATGGCGGTTACTGTCAGGAGAAAAAAATATTTATGTGCAAATGTTTTATGAATGTATCATATGCAAGTGAAGAAGATGAGAAAATTCTTCAATGACTATGGATTTCAAATGGCCGAGGACTATTCAGTTCATATAATTAAAGACAAAACTAAGTAAAACAGTCCTTTCTTAGAAGTGGCAGATGTGGAAAATCTTGGTAAACACATAAAATAGGATAACAGAGATTTCTTTAGTAGATACATCCTCTTGCCCTGAACTGAAAAAAAGTTATAAGAGAGCCTCTATCTTGTCAAGGATGTATGGAAGGATGTAATTTATGCAGGAAAAAAAATATTACATTTATAAGGATGAGTATAGTACCTGGTGAGTGAGGAAGTTCTTATAAACTTACCCATCATTGTTAATATCTGATACTGCAACTGTATATCCAAAATAAGATGCCATCTGCAAAGGAAAACCATAAGATGATGCCTTCCATCTTCAAAAATCACTTTTATTGTGATCTCTCAATTTTTCCTGAAAGATTAGCCTCATTGCCGCACATTTTTGCATTTAAATTCATAGACCCCGGGACATGGACAGAGTCTTTGAGTCCTTTAGTTTAACCCTTGACCTGGTGCATAATTTTCCTCACAATATCTCTGGCATCTGCTTGGACATCCTCTGGAGATGTTCAACAATCAGCCCACTCAATTTGTAGTGTTAACTCTTAGAATGTTCTTTGCTAAAATTGGTCTTTCTGTAACTTTTAGTTCTTGATCCTCCTACTTATTCTGCAATCTGGAATGTCACAGAATAAATCTAATTCATTTCCACATGAAACCTCACATGGAAATATTTTCAGCCAGCTCATTGTCTTCCTTAGAGATACAATATGTGATACCAAAGAAAGGATGATACCTCATGAGCTCACTGACAGAAGTTAAGTAGGATGTACAGTCTTTGTATCACTGAAGCAAAAAAAAAAAGGTTTTAATTTTGGGGTAAACCACTTCTCAGTATCAATTTATACTGAGTTTATCATCTGCTAAATTTTCTAGGTCTTTAACGAGTGTAAATTGTGTGCCTAATCTCCCCACATTCTAGCTCTTATATGTGTTTTTCAACCTATGTTTTCAAGATCATAATCCTTTCAACCTTAACCTATAGTTTTAGGTTGTCAAGTTTTGTTTGTTTGTTTTCATATTCTGCCATCCAGTGCTTTAGCTGACTTAGCCTCCCATCACCTACAAATTTAATCAGACTACAGTCCACTGGAAAGTATGCTTCACAGAAGGCAGAGAATTTGGTCTGTGTTGGTCATTCTTCTGTCTGCACTGCCTGAACAGGGTTTAGCTCAGATTAGGTGTCAGGTGTCAGACACTCTTTGCAGAGGAAATAAATAGATGAGTTAATGAGTGTAACACAATCATTAAATTCTCTCACCTATTTACTCTGTTCAAAACATACACAGTTGCTATAGACTGAATGTTTGCATCCCTTACCTCCCCCAAATTCAGATACTGAAACCTAACCCCCAACATGATGGTATTAGGAGGAGGGGCCTTCAGAAGGTGATCAGAATACCAAGGTGGAACCTTCATGAACGTGATCAGTGTCCTTACAAAAGAGACTCCAGAGAGCTCTCCAGCCCTCCTTCCACCATGGGAGGACACAGCGGGAAGACGGCTGTGAACCAGGAAGCAGGCTCTCACCAGACACGAGTCTGCCTAGCCTTTTTTCTTGGGCTTCCCAGACTCCAGAACTGTGTGAGAGAAACGTCTGTTGCTTTGGCCATTCTATGGAACTTTCATTATAGTAGTCCAAATGGACGAAGGCATGGGTCTCAGATGCAAAATACTCTCTGCAGAGGAAATGAATGCTTCATTTAACTGTGTCAGGCAATAACTCAGTTTTTCTACCTCTTTTCTCTATTCCAAACACATGTGGTAAAATTCTTACTCCTGGTGTGGCGTTCTGTGGAACTCAGAGGACATTCATCATTTATATGCCAAGTTCTGAGGTTCAAGATTGCAGAACTAGGTGGTATTGGGGATGAGAAGTTACAGAAAGTCCAAACTTAACAGTGTTTAAAGAGCTTCTAATGATAAAAATGTAGCACAAAAAGGCAGAGGAGAAGTCTTGCCAGATCTTCATTAAACTATTCGTTATCACCACTTGGGAATAGTTGCTCAAAATTTACAATCCCACCCATCTGCACTATCATCCTGGCCTTAGAGCTCTATATTTATTACAAGAGTACCATGAGAGACATTGTTCAGTGCTTTGTTGAAAATTGCAGACTGATGGAGAGACGAAAGCCCCAGTTGGAGGGTGGAAATGTCAAAAATCCTTTGTGTTCATTAAAAATCTCTATTTATCAAAACTTCTTGACAAATATATTATTCCTAATTTATACGTCTAGTCAAGAGTTTAGCATTTCAGGATCTTAAACCTGGACCCTTCCAGACCCAGTGGGCCAGATTCAAATGTGAGGCTCACTATGAGCTCAGTAACCCGGGGTGGTGTTTAGGAGAGAAAATTGGTTGCCCAGAGGAACTAACTCAGCTCATCACTGGCTCCCTTAGACAGCACTACCACAATCATTATTTAAAGAAATGTGACACATTCCCACAGGTCACACAACCCAGGAAAACTGAGGGTAGTGAGTGAAGAGTGACCTCACAGCAGCCTGTTTTCAGGCAACTGATCTACTGATAAGGCCTCAGCCAATGACAGTGGGTCAGGAGCAAGACCTAGCCCCGGGGTAAGGGTCCAGAACCAGACAGCTTGTCAACTACCATATAATGCTGGGATTGGAGAGGGTTCCAGTCAAAGTGAAGATGAGAGGCAGAGCCCAGGCCCGTTGACTCTGACGGATATGTGGAATCTGTGAGAAGACTGTGTCCTCCCAGAACTCACCACCAGACACGCTACATACAGGACTGCAATATAGGAGGATTGCTCTCAGATTCCAGCACTTAGTGGGATTTTGGCTTATGAGGAGCATATTCTGCCTTTACATCACTTATCATTATCTGAAATCATGATGGACATTCACTTGTTTGTTAATTAACTGTTGCTCCCCCAACTACCTCCCCTGTACCATGGCATCAGAGCTGGGATCTTGTCCTTCTGGTACATGGTTACAGTCCCAGTTCTCAGACAAGTTTCCAGCACATAGTAGGTGGTTGGCAAATATTTCATGAATGAATAAGTGGTATGAATATTACAATATACTATTAGTACAGTAACATTCATTATTTGATATTAAAGTACCCTACCTGTTCACCAGTGAAGTTCTGAATAAAGGTCATATCTGTAGAGTTAATGATTGAAACCTGAAATCATAGAAATTAGACAGGTTACATCATTTAGTATAGAATTGGAGAACTTCTTAAAAAGTATAACAAATCATTTAAAAATTTCTGTGAAGAGTGATAAATGGTTAGCTATATGAAAAAAAATACATAAGCCCATAAGAATCATCTTTTAAAAAATTCAATTGAAATTTTTGTTTATAGGTAAGATTTGGATCCTTTCAGACACTATGCATGCTTACTGATCTGAAGTACAGAAATAAAAATTGAATTCAAGAACTCTGAGAACAACTAACCTGATGGTCAGTTAATTGATCTAATCCAAATTTTAGTCTAAATTTAATTTGTATGCATATGCTCCTATAAGAAATTGATGATTGTGGTTTTGTGCAAAAAAAAAAAATTTTAAGTGTTATCCATCTAGCAAAAATATTCCTTTTAAATCCTATCCAGCCAACCTAAAATCTATAATTACAAATTTACCAGACTTTAAAAATATTATTTAAAATATAAGTTTTTATTTTTATAAGGTTGCTTTATTTTCCTTTCCTATTTTTACAGTAACTAGTTATAGCGAGTTTGAATAATATCCCTCCAAAATTCATGTCTCCCTAGAACTTCAGAAGGTGACCTTATTTAGAAATAGAGTCTCTGTAGATTTGAAGTTAAGGATCTTGAAATGAAATCATCCTGGATTTAGGGGGCCTTTGTCCAGTGACTGGTGTCTTCATAGGAAGAGGGGAGGAGACACACAGACACAGAGAGAAGAAAGCCACATGGAGACTGAGGCAGAGATTGACACGATGCTGCCACAGCCAAGGGAAGGCAGGGACCCCCTGCAGCTGGAAGAGACAGAAAGAGCCTCCCCTCCATGTGCATTGTAGGGAGTATAACCCCACCAATGACACTTGCACTTCAGACTTCTGGCCTCTTGAACTGTGAGAGAACAAATTTATGTTATTTGAAGCCACCCAGTTTGTCATAATTTGTTATGAGATCCCCTGCAAGTGAATACACTAGTGAAATAACAATTGACTTTATTATTTCTACCATATGAGACATATTAAAATGCTGTTCATATCAACAATGGGAGACTCTGAAATTATTCCCAGATTATGCACAAGGATAGGGCTAGACTCATGGGGATGAGCCCTGCCCCTTGAACAGCCCGGCTGTCACTGTCCTGAAATCATTAATTTTGAACAAGGGCCGAGGCGTTTTCACTTTACACTGGGTCCCACCAGTTATGTTGTTGATCCTGCACACAGAGCAGACAACGATCTAGCCTCCCTTTGAGTAAGCAAGCAAGTGTGGATCAGCAGTGCTTATGATTACAGGGCATTTTAAAAGATTAAAAAGTTGTATGAAACAAAATGTTTCTTTGCATATATAAAGAAAAAAATCCTGGAGTGCATTCTTAGTACTCACATATCCAAAATTCTGTGCTCCTCTTGGAACTCCAGCAACCAATTCTGTGATGAAAATAGAAATTTAGAAGGTGAATTACACAGATACTCAAAAGCTCTACAACAAAGCAGTTAAGAATGGCGCTTTCTAATGAGTAACTGTCATGTACCATGTAGAGAGCCGGAAGTCTGAGGTCTCAGTTTTGCATTGGCTTTTGTTTCTGCTACAAGCAAATGAAAACAGAAGACCAAAAGCCTTACTTTGAGTTTTACCCATCTCCATCACCAGCCTCCATGTGTTTCTGTCTCTAGAACACAAGCCTGGCTTCTCAGATCTGCATGTGACTTGTAGGTTAAACCTCTTACTCTGATTTCTCCAGCTTTCACTGTCTTTTGTACAAAGTAAAAATTCCTGTCCAACTAAAGTGTTAAAACAATTTCTGTTACCTAAGGAAAGGCCACATATCATAAATGAGTAAGTCTGGCCCCCTGGAACAGAATTATAGGACAACCTGGCAGCCAAGGCTACACTGGGAAGGAGGCTTCAATAACCCAGGTAGAAGAACCAACTCTGGTGAAAGGGGGCAGCATATTCTAATGCACAGTGACATGGCTCTAGACTCAGGTATATGGGTCCGCCATATACCTGACATCAACCATTGGACCTAATTTTTTTCCAGTCACCTGCAATAGATGGGAGTTGGAATTGCCTGATTATCAAAGATCTTTCCAGCTCTCATTTCTACAAATCTAAAGTATCCTTTGATTCGTTGGGATTAAATTTTTATTTTGATTTAGAAAGAGGGGGACTGGAAAAGAGCCTCCCTTCTACTCAAATTTCCCTTCTTCTAAGCCTGCTCCTAAAGGTATAGCACAAATTCTAGCATTAATTCTATCTGATGTACTGAATTGTAGCAGGGTTGAGTGCTCATGCTGTTAGAGCATTAATGATCAGAGAAGACTCATTTGGAGTTAGACACTGGATTTTTGTAGTAAATTCACTCATTCAATCAATATTCATAGGCAACCACAGGCTACAGCAGGGAACAAAGACAAAATTTCCTGCTCTCATGAAACTTATACTTTAGTTGGAAGACGCAATCAGTTTGAAAAATGGAGTCAATTAAAGGATATGTTAGAAGGGGATGAGTATAATGTAGAAACACTAAGCAGTAAAATGGTGCTAGGTGTGTTAGAGTCAGAAAGTGGAAGTAATTGTGATTAATTAGTGTGGCCATGGAAGGCCTTGACAAGAAGATGACATGTTAGCAAAGACTGAAGAAAGTGAGACAATAAATATGATGGAGATCTGGGAGAAGTGTTCTAGTCAGAAGGGACAGCAAGTGCAAAGGTCTGGAGAATTCCAAGAACAGCAAGGAGGGCAGGGTGGCTGGAGTAGAGGGACTGGAGGATGGTAAAGGACTAGGAGATGAGGTCAAAGTAAATAGGGGCCTCATAAACAGAGTCTTAAAGGTCATTGTGAAGATTCAGATTTTAGGCTGAATCAGTTGGGAAGTCATTGGGAACAAAGAAGTTATACAATCTGATTTCTGTTTCTAAAGGACCACTTTGGCTCCTGGATTTTGGGTAGACTACAAGAGGGCAAAGATGAAAACAGGGAGACCAGTTAGGAAGCTATTGCAATCATGTGGACGGGGACTTGGATCTGAGTAGAAGCTGTGGAGGAGATGAGAAGTAGTCCGATTCTGGTTGTATTTTGTGCTTAGTTAGCTGGATTTGCTCATGGATTGGATATGGATGGGGAATGAGAGCAAGAGCAGCATCCAAGGTTGACTTGCAAGGTTATTTTGCTTGAGCAACTGGGAAGTTGGCATTGCCACCTACTGAGATGGAGATGATGGAGGGTAAAGCATGTCTAAGTGGAAAGATCAGGTGTTCAGCTATAAATGCATTAAATTTGGGATAGCCATTCAAATGGAGATGTTGAGTGTTGAGTAGAGATTCTAGATCTTACACTGCGTTCCAGGTTCATGTATGGATGGTTAGTAGGGGCACCTCAAAACAGACCACAGTCAGATACAGTGGAGTTGCCTGATTTGGGGAACAGATTTGTCAAGCAGGAAAGATTAAGGGGGATTATGCCATTTGAGATACATGGTAACCATGGCCTCTCCCATCCCACAAATACTCAGAATTTCATTGAAAAAAGAAATTAACCATCACAATCAGTAACTTTGGAGCCTGCAGTCTCACATGGCTACAGCACTAAGGAGGAATTACATGTAATGTTGATTTAAAGTTTCAGGAAAAATCACATTCATAAAAGGGCTTTTTAGGTCACTTTACCTTTTCCCCATGTTTTATAGATGACTTAATGTCAACAATGTCTCTCACCTTGCTGAGAGTCCCCAGTAAATTCCCCAGCAGCAACTGAATATCCTGTTTTGAAGAAAAGAAACAAACTAATCACATTTGAAGGTTTTACAAATGACCTATTATCTATTATCTATATCTAGAAATATGAAAGAACTACCACAGTACTGCTTTGTGCCAAATTGTAACATAAAAGTTTAGGGTTTCATAAAGAGAAAAATTAATCAAACCAAGATTCAGACTGAATCTTGCAAGCATAGTAGATCTGCTATTTCTGGGCATGGTAACACGATTAGATTCTGAGGTCTCTTTTATTTGTTTATTTTTAATTGAAATATAGTCATTTTACAATGTTGTGTTGATTTCTAGTGAGTCAGTTATACATATATATGTATTCTTTTTCATGTTCTTTTTCATTATAGGCCATTACAAGATATTGAATAGAGTTCCCTGTGCTCTGCATCTGCTTTATATATAGGAGTTAGTATCTGCAAATCTCAGACTCCCAATTTATCCCTTCCTACCTTCTTCCCTCCTTGGTAACCATAAGTTTGTTTTCTGTGTCTGTGAGTCTGTTTCTGTTTTGTAAATAAGTTTATTTGTGTCATCGTTTTACATTCTACATACAAGTGATACCATATGGTATGTCTCCTTCTGGCTTATTTCACTTAGTATGACAATCTCCAGGTCCATCCACATTGCTGAAAATGGCATTGTTGTATTCTCTAGGGTCCCTTTTAAAAGCAGAATTGCTTCATCACCCACCGTGATGTGTGAATGGTGGCGATTGCATTTTAAGAGTCACTGATTCATCATAATCAGACATGATCACTCTGAAAAGTATTTCTTGTGTCAGGTTTTGCTTTTTGTGACCACCCAAAAGGCCTACTTCCTCATACCTTTCGTGATGATTTCCGTCAAATTTCACTTAGCTGTAACGTGAGGTGAGGTGACAGAAGATAACTACAACTTTTAAAAGTTCATCAAGTAATCAAAATGCCAATAGGATTCCAAAGCTGGGAAGTAATTGTGGTAAAATGGCCTTGTGTGGTTTGCACATAAAAAAATTTGAGAACATTCCAGCAACTCGAAAGTCTCTTGCTTTTGCTCTAGAAACTGGAAACGTCCACTATCGTGTTGCCTATATAGTAGTGGGCATCCCCCACTAATACACAGTGTCAACAGCTGGCAAAATATTTTATGTGCAAGAGATTATCATGGAGCCTATAAAATAGCTATCAGTCTATGCAGATTATATAGTATGGCTGAGCCCAAAGAAAAGAAAAGAAAGTTAAGAGTCCAAGCTAATTTTAAGAAAAGAAAATTTACATAAGGTACCCCAAATGATCAGGTAAGTGAGCAATAAAATTTCCCTCTACATTTAATATGTCTTTTGAAAAACCACAAAGGTCTTGAGCAATGGCTCTCACCCAGGTAACTATCATCGTAGGAAGCTGGAGCCACTTCTGTCTGTTTTTCATGAGCCAATTTCCTTAGGATATCCTTGAACGAGTAATTTGCAATGATATCTGCAATACTGGCAGTGATCACCTGACCTGTGTTGAAACAAATGAATATGGTAACAATGAATACAAGAGGCAGGCCCTCCCTCTGCAGACACAGGGCATCTGAACAACACGTACTCCCTTGAGAATGAGCTTGCTTGCACTTCTGACAATGTGATTGCTTGCACTTCTGACAACAATTTTTATTGCCTGGTACTAGAACTGCAAGGTAGAGTTGCTAACAGCTGGTCAGAGCTTTCCATCCTGATAGAAGAACCAAAGATGAACTATGTAATTTTTTTCATGTAACATTTATTTGTTTCTAGGTTTTTTAATTGAAGTATAGTTGGTTTACAATATCATGTTAGTTTCAGGCATACAGCATAGTGACTCAGTATTTTTGCAGATTCTACTCCATTTTAGGTCATTACAAGATAATGGATACAATTTCCTATGCTACACAGTAGATCCTTTTTTTGTTATCTATTTGATAACTAGTAGTTTGCATCCATTAATCCAAAAGCCCTTAATTTTATCTGTTTTCCTGTTGCCTTCACCTTATATACTCCCTCTACCTCTAAATGATAAACGTATCTAAGAGTGAAGACACCTGAACATTTATGTGATTACATTTTTATTTAATCTAGCTAGAAGAATATTCTAGCTAGAAGAAACATCATCTAGCTTTGAGGTCATCTAGGCAAAATGTATCTTCTTACAGATGGAGAGACTGTGGCCCCAAAAGCTTGCACGCATTCCCTAAGGTCAGGTGGTTTTGTTATTGAGATATTCAGCATTAGGACAAGGGTCCCTTTGTCATTCTAATTCTAGGCTTTTTGTGTTCACTCAAAGTGCAGATGTATTAAATCTAAATCACTTACTCAGTTAACAGATTGTAAACATATCAGCTAAACTAAAGGTAGGAATTACCTAATCTCTGAGCCATTCACATTTAATGTTAAAATATATACATAAAGCATACAATTGTGACAATGGGAAGCAGCAAGGCCCAGCAAGATCCAAAATTGTAGCAAAAAGGGAATCCGTGGCCACCAACATTGATATGATAAGAACATTGGCTAGTCTCCCCCCAATAAAATCACTATCAGAAGCCTTGAAATATGATTGTAGTGGGATGGACGTGAATACAAATGATGGCCAGCTGTGTTCCAGCACAATTTTTATGCATTTTCTATGCATTCTCATTTTTATTATGCACAGCTAAGGGGAAAGTGTGATCTCATGCTCTTTGCGAGAAAATTGGAAGAATGCTTTCAAGAGACTAACATTTAATACCAATTTTAAAGCCAAATTATTCCTTGGGAATTCCCACATAAATCCCACAGCCTTTCTGTCTGAAGTTCAAAAAGAATAAAACTGTCAAACCAGGCCATAAATATCTCCAAGTGACCGTGCCTGAAATAACTGTTCTTATATTAAGGCAATCATATTCACACTCGGCGTTTCTAAACAATGTCTGTAAGATTTGCCAATTTTCTCTGGGTTAAAGCAGAATAGCCCACACTCTCCTCCCACGTACACACTGCCTTTGCTTGTTTCCTTAAGCTGCTTTTACAAATATTACAATCTTAAAACTGAATAAATTTAAATTATTGATCTCAGACAAATCTTCCTCTATCCCCTCGATAAGGTTAATTTTCAGCGTATCATCTGTATTAGACATTTTTTTCAACTTAAGGAAAGAATTATGTGAAATTGAGTTTGAACAAAATCTTTTTAAATGCATATAATTTTTATTTTATATCCATCCACTGCATAAAATATATTGTTTTCCAGTTTGCAAAATAATGGTTATAAAATGAAATGTTAATTATTTGATGTTCATAGCTGTATAGGTATGAATTAAGCTTAACAATACTTTCATGTAAAATTTTATCATAAATTCATCTGTCCTGCATCATTCCCACTGGTTTTTTAAATATGGTCAGGTCTCTTCCATTAAAAAAATAACCATTATTCAACTATTCACCTCTCTCATATTCTACTCTATCTTTATTCTAAACTTTACAGCCAAAATTAAGTCTGTATTCTTGGTAATCTCTCTCCCATCCACATCCATGGCTTCAGTTGTCACCTCTGTGCTAGTTTTTATTTTAGCCTAGTTATCTTCTTTGAGTTTAAGCCCATACATCTAAACACATGTGTGAAAAAACTTGGATATCTCAAACATGTTCATACTCAATATGACCAAAAGCAAACTCATCATCTTCCTCCCCCAACCCACGCCAAAGGCCTTCTTTTCTAGTGTTCTCCATCTCGGGGACTGGGATCCACCTACTACCATTCAGTTACAGAAGTCAGAAACATATCCCTGACATCCTCCCTATGTTCACCCACATACATCCAATCCATCATCTAGGCTGTTTATTTTGCTTCCAAATTCTGTCTCAGATTCCTCCCATTTTTCAGTCTGTACCGTCACCAACTCTAAGAAGCAAATCTCCTCATCTGAACCTTAGAGTTAGTCTACTTTACAAACTCATCACTAGCTTATAACCTTATAACAAATTTGCTGATACTTCACTTGGGCCAAACCTCCAATCCATCTTCCATACTGCAGCCAGAATGATCATTGCAAAACACATATCTGATCATAGCATCATCCCATGCTTAAAATTCTCCAGAGGTTTCCCATTTTTCTCAGAACAAACAACACATTCTTACTCTACCTCAAACAATTCATTAAAACTCCAACCCTCTACCAGGGATTTCTCCTTGGTTTTTGGGATAAAGACAAACTGTTTACCTTGGACTGCAAACCTTGCCTGGTGAGCAGGGCTCCTCGCTCCCACTCAGCAACTCTTGGCTCCAGTCACCCAGCTTCCCTCCATTCCCAGCCCCCTGCACTCCTTTGTGCCATAGAACGTTTTCACACAGTTGCTCCTCTCTCTGCCTACGACTGAAGGTTACCTTCTGCTCAAGGTTCAGATCTCAGTTCAGGGCTGCTTACTTCCAAACCGGTTGACCTCAGGCTTGCTGCTGGCTTATGCAACACTTTTCTAAGAAGTAGAGGAAATCTTCCTTTCTGGGCAGACACCTGGGTTCAGGGCGCCTTCAGCAGAGCACAGGTTGCATTTCATCTCCCTGCCAGCCACCGTTCAGAGAACAACACACATTTGCACAGGGCCACCCTGGAGAAGCCTCCTCTTGTGGCCACCTCTTGACATCCCTTTCCTTCCTAGTGAGTATCATGCCTGGAGTTTCTCAAGTGCTTGTGTGAGTATTCCACTAATGCCTGCGTCTTGCCTGAGATAATGACCTCTACGGGTTACTCACCATTGTATCCTCAGCATCTCACATAAAGCCTCACATGGCCTCAATCAGCATTTGATGACTAAAGGAATTAAGTTGCCATGGTATTTTAAAATATCATTGATAAAACAAAGCACAAACTGAAATGATGCTTCCTTCACTGGAGAAAATATAAATGTAGATATAAAATTAATGCAGTAAAAAGTCAACATTTGATGTTCTGTTTCATCTCCTTGTTAGCAACAACCAATGAGCACTTCTCTACTAACAAAACATACCTTGCCAATAAAAACTTCCAGGTCCTCCTACTATAAGGTCTCCATTCTACAAAACAGAAACAGCAACAATTAGAAAAGAAAAACTGAGGTTTTTTTTTTCTTAAGGGCGATAAATCATTATTAGTAGCATTGTTCTTACAATTTGTTATACATAAAAAAATAAATTTTAAAACAGGCTCTTATATCTGAGTCATGCAAGTCATTTTCTTTCCTTTTATTGGTTTCAGTTATTTATCATACTAAATACTTTTAGTTTGATTCAATTAGATAAGTTAAATTCTCTCCCCTGATAAAAGGTAAATTCAGTTCTTTGGCACTGCCTCAAGTAAGCAAAATAGCTACATGTTTAATGCTATGCAATTCAGCAGGCATGGTCTTTTGAGCCTTGGTAATAAAAAGAAAATTTGGTTCCTATTTATTTCAAGGCCACAATAATGCCTATTTTTTTCTATACATCTGTAAACCTACTCTTCCCAGGAGAGAGAGCAAAAGCTCCAGACTAGAAAATAGAAGTTTTCTTTTTTACTTACAACCCCAACTTACATATCTTGCATCCTTAACTTTCAGTAGAGAGAAAAAAAGGGAGAGTAAAATTTCAGATGTTGATTAAATTTTTATTCTTTCTAAAACCATGGAATCTTTGCCTCCTATATTCTTATTAGATATCTGTTTTTAATTTTGTAAAAGAATATGTGAATTTTAACACTAATGTTTAATCAGTCAATTACAGCTAAGAGACAATAATTTATAGATTCTTGTGATCTTTTTCAGAAGCGTATTTCTTTACTGACTTTTTTTTTTGGATTTTCATTTAAAAATGAAGAAAGACTGTTGCTTTCCATCTGAATACTTTTTTGCTGTTTAATAGGTTGTCATGTGCATAGATTACTTTATTATTAAAAATAAAGAGCAAATAAAAAAAATTGAAAGAAGTTGCCAAAACAGGCTAGGTATATACCTGAAGATTCTTTTGCTGTTGTTGGTTATTGGGGGTGAGAGTGAGAGGCAGAGGTAGAGGTACAAAATAAATAAATAAAATAAAATAAAACAATTATTAGAAGCTACAAGATCAAAAAAATTCACCTTATAAAAATCCAGACTAAATCCTGCTTGGCAGTAACCCTGGCCTTCAGGATCAGCATTGCCTGAAAGGATCAAAATACATAAATGTTATAATGTCATCATTCCCAAGATATATTTTAATAGCCAATTCACAAAATTCTGTTGTTTTTCTCTATAGACTTCCAAATTTAAAATGATCATACTGAATTCCAAGTAATTTCTTAAACATATTTCAATCTGTTATCTTGTCCCAAGAAGCACTAGCATTGTATAGTAAGATCAGGGGGAATAATGTTCCCTGGAGTTATTATGTTGGGTCTTACAGCCCATGTTTGTTTGAAGAAACAAAACCTCCACCTCTCAACTGTGTTCCCAGTTCCCCAAGCGGCAGGAACGTGTTTCGGTGGCGCCCTCGTGTTCTGAGTGAAGCAATGCCTTGAGAAAGCGAGCGCTCAACTTGGTCACCTGGGTGGATACTTTCTGCTGGAGGCACCGACAACGGTTTCGACTTTTATGATCTCTCATAGGAAATTAACTTTAAATTATTCAGTTATCATTAGGTAAATCTGGATATTGCATTTCTGGTCACAATGTATCTCACAGGGGCACAAGTTTTCACAGAAGAGGAAACTCTCTAGCAGTGGCTTATTTTATATTCTGTGCAATGTAATTCACTACCTGAATATCCAATAGAACTTTGTTACACAGTGTTTTAAACCATAGCAGGTCAGCATGTGGATCCCCACCCAGGAGATGAGGATCCCGTGATATCAGGATGAGGAATGTACTGCTTGTCACTTGCACTTTAAAGGACTATCTACAACTTCTAAAGTGCTTACATTAAACCCGAAATGTAGTTCAGCAGAGGGAATCTCAAGTATTATCTAGTTAGATCCAAACATGCAAAACATCATTACAGGAAGAATTTACAGGCTTTCCTATTCCAGAAGCTTTTTGAAATAGATCTAGGCTTTCCAGCTTTTCCTAGAATGCCTTCTGGTTTTCCTTTTCTTTGGTTAGTCCTTAGCTAATTTTAGCTCTGCCATCAGCCATTCTTTCCAGATGCTCCCTTTATGTCTTAAAATACTTTTTTTAAACTCATATACTGTATTTTTGCGATGTTTTGTTTTTAATTCAAATGTCACTTAATGCTTTGTATGTTTTTTATTTACTGAGTTCTTTTTGTTTAGCTTTATTGGGGTATACTTAATATTATTTTTTAAATTGTATGCTTTAATGTGTACATTTTGATGAGTTTAGACATATGCATAAACACAAGACACCGTCACCACAATCAAGGGAATAAACATATCCATCACTTCCAAAAGAATTCTTGTGTTGCTCCCCCAACCAAATATTGCTTTTTGGTTGTTGTTTTTGTGTGTGTGTGTGTGTGTGTGTGTGTGTAGTAGAAAACTACTTAAATGACGTCTCCTTAC